ACCGTTCCTTGTCATTTTACTGAGCGCAAGAAAAGATCGCTACCGAAGTGAGCGCTTTTTGACAGTCATTTCTATAAGAAGTGTCAAAGGGGAAATATTCAAATTAAATTAATTTATTCGACATGGTACAATAAAACCATGCGTGTATATATAATACCGACATGAAATACACACACACACATATATATATAAACCGAGCAACAAAAAATATGTCCATGTTTCTCACTTTATGCGTTTTGTCGTTCACGCTTTCGTTCATTTCTTTCTATAAGTCGACAAAGGAAGTCCCGTTTTTTTCGTGAAACTCCCTCACAAAAACATAATTTTTATTCTTAATAAAATTTTTCCTCATATAGACCGTTCAGCACATACGAAGACTGACAAATCGATGTGATATATATATATATATTATTCGCGCATTTTATAGAACATAGATCATAATGATCGCAGTGTTACAAAAACAGGAAACGAATCCACTCAAAATGCTTCAACTTTTCTGAAGCGATCACATTAACAGTACTGTATTTAACTACACTAAAATATATCTTGTGCCACCGAAACGGTTCTAAGAACAATGACGAAACAGGCTCTTTGAAAAATTCTACTGGCTAATCTCAGCTGAAACGGTTCTAAGAACAATGACGAAACAGGCTCTTTAGAAAATTATACTGGCTAATCTCAGCCGAAACGGTTCTAAGAACAATGACGAAACAGGCTCTTTAGAAAATTTTACTGGATAATCTCAGCTAAAACGGTTCTAAGACAATGACGAAACAGGCTCTTTAGAAAATTTTACTGGCTAATCTCAGTCGAAACGGTTCTAAGAACAATGACGAAACAGGCTCTTTAGAAAATTATACTGGATAATCGCCACATTATTTTACTCATTCAAAGAGGAAAACATATTTTGGGAAAGGAGTGAATAACTTCATGATTAACTTCTAGCGACCACTTACTTGAGCTTAGGTAGATGATGAGAAATATTACCAGAGAAAGGTTTGATTGGTTCATACAACCAGTGATTCCTAGCTTTTATCAACCCAAGGACTGACAAAATCATTGTTTTTGTTTGTTTGTTTTTGTTTTTGAAGTTAAGCACAAAAGTACACAATGGGCTATCTGTGCTCTACCCACCACGGGTATCGAAACCCGGTTTTTAGCGTTGTAAGTCCGCAGACATACCGCTGTGCCACTGGGGGGTGGGGCAAAATCTTTGTAAAAAAGCTTACTACCCAGTGGCTCAGCAGTAAGTATGAAGACTTATAATGCTAAAAGCCGGGTTTCGATACCCGTGGTGTGCACACCACAGATAGCCCATCGTGTAGCTTTGTACTTAACAACCAAACATGAAGCTTATGGATCGTTAGAAGTGTGTGTGTGAACCAAAACCAGGGTGATTAGTGTAAATACAAAACAATTCATTACGCATAACAAATTTCAGCTGTATATATCTCATAAATGACTGTTAAAATAAAACAAAAATCGTACCATTTGTTAACAAAGTACAAAAGGAATATTTTTTAAAGAAAAATGTCTGCAGTCATAGCACTCAAAAGTGTTGGGGTTATTCCGTCTATTATATATAATCCAAATAACGTCACGGAATATTAATTACAGTACTTAGTTATTTTTTGTTTGTTTGTTTTAATTATGCACAAAGCTACACGAGGGCTATCTGTGCTCTGCCCACCACGGGTATCGAAACCCGGTTTCTAGCGTTGTAAGTCCGCAGACATACCGCTGTGCCACTGGGGGGCACTTAGTTATTGAGTGCTTTAACCCACGACGTCCGAACACCTACTACTATTCATCGTTTGAAGCCAGTTGTGGGCATGGTAGTCACCCTCTATAAAGTTTAATACTTTAAAGGTAAAAATTACAGTAGAAAGTTTGTTGTTAAGAGCCACCCTTAATTTCTACCCTTGTTACACACCCAACCTCCACCCTTTATACAATTAAGCAGGAAATATAAACCCTTAACTAAACAGTTCAGGAAAAACTGAACACCCATCCTCCTCTCTTGTCAACCTCATTAAAGCTGGGAAGGCGGAGACAATATATATTTATATTTTCGTTGACAGGTTCTTTTAAGTTATCTGGTGAAAATAATCAAAATTCCAGTCTACGTAACAATGTCAAATTATTTTGATTATTCTCTTATGTTTCAACACGCTAGTCTTCACTTGTTCATTGCTGTAATATCTTGTAGGCCTAAATTTACAAATGACGCCAACTGCACCATACTAAAATGAAAATAAACTTACTTGTATTACAGTAGGCCCGAAAGGGGACAAACTTTGAGCGAAACAAAACATTCTTTGACTGATTCACTGTACTATCTCTTAACTATCCTTCAATTATCTTCAATGCTTCTCTGGCCCCGTATCTCTTAACTATCCTTCAATTATCTTCAATGCTTCTCTGGCCCCATATCTCTTAACTATCCTTCAATTATCTTCAATGCTTCTATGGCCCCGTATCTCTTAACTATCCT